CGTCCGCTCGTTTAATCGCTCGTGTTTCAGGCTCACTCATCGGCTTCCGTTTGAAAAAAGGGGGCAGAACGAGTTCAGAACGAAATTTCATTTTCGATTTTTAACTTCTCTTCACTTTAATTCATATTTTCCCTCCGACAAATCGCGCAACTTAACTTCACGGATTTTAATGATGTTTACGAAACGTCTTCTTGTATATTGTGAGAAGCAAATTAAAAACATGAAACGTCCATCTGGGTGGTAAGTGGTACACATAATTACCGCTATCTTATGACGTTTAAACGATACTTTTATTTAACTCGATTCTACGAAAATCACGGATTCAAGCAGAACTGACTGAGTGGGAATAACAAGGAGCTAAGTAGCGCCGTCTGCAGGTGGAAAGAAGCTTCAAACATGTGTCGACCTCGGCATGTCCCGGCTTGACCCCTCGAAGCTCGAAGCCCCTAGTCTGCATTGCTAAGTCATGACGTCATTACATCGACGTCTGACGACGTTCTTACAAAAGCCTGTCTGATTTTGCCTTCGATCTGCGTAATTCAATCGAAAAATTGGCCGGAAATCGACTGGGTTGTCAACGAGGCTCTTTAACTGGGGTTAAGGCGGCCGAGACGTGATTCTAGTCGCGTCATTAAAAATGAGTGGACTTCAGAGAGAGAGAGAGGAAAGTTCAGCCTTGACGGGGCGAAACACACCTGTACGCTCTTGTCACACGTCCCGATCTACAGCTGATGATTGCACGCCAGTTTTCAAAACAAGGCCTCCAGTGGCCGTCAACACAGGCGCAGTCTTCGGAGCTTTTGTTGAGCTTTGTGCTTTCTGATGTGACAGCCGTGGAGGACGGTCAATGGGGGTCGCTGAGGGTTGTTCCTACACCACTACAGTGTTCGAGGGAGGAAGCCCCCCGTGTGTGTGTCCAAAAGTGTACATATTACAGACATTCTGATGTTAATGCGCCCTTTATAGCAGCCTGCACACCTCTGAAGCGTCCTTTGAGCCCTCTCCTTTCTGATCGTCTGTATACACACATCAACTATTCTTCGCCTGAATTCAATTCGTGGAAACCATCTCGGAGGCTTGACAGGCGAGAATTGCACTAAACTGACATCTCAAAGAAGTCCAAAGGAAATCAAGTATTTGTATACGTCTCCGACCTGAACTACCTTGCAGGGTCCTTTATATAAAAATATCGCATATTTTCTTTGCCGTGTTTGAAACGTCGCTGTAAACCACACGGCCGTCGCTTCAGCAGCGAAGTTTCTCGTGCTCTGCGGTTTGTTTGCTTTTCTCAGCTGACGTCATCCGTCATCTTTTTTCACTTAAAATACGACGTTTCGAAAAGTGGAACCATTAACGAAGTGTCTGACCACGTTCCCCACTACGACGCAAAGACTTCCAGCTTCCGTTTCTGGTTAACCAGTCCGACATTACAAACAACGTCCACGCTACCATAACACCAGCTTAATTCGCCTGCTTCGGCCAATGTTGGCCGTCTTCAGGAGATAAAGCTTAAAAAAAAGACATTTCTACACAGGGTACAGAATTCTAAAATCTGACCACGAGCGTCACAAAACCATTTGGGCAAATCAACGTGAAAATCCGTTCAGCGACTCTCAGGATGTTTCAGGGAAGAGGCAACAGATGGGGTCAGTGGTCAGCGTCACGCTCCGGCCGAGTTTTACCTCCGGTACTACTGGGTGAGCCCCAGAGCCGGTCTGGACGCAGAGGCTAGTAGAAAGTCCTTTACCCCTGTCAGGGGTCGAACCTAGATCGCCCAGTCCGCAGCCAGTCAAGACACGGACGCCGGAAGTCGACCTAGGAGATTGCAAAGCTGAGCGTCGGTTAAATCCGAGATTAGATTTAACGCTCGTCTGTTTTATGAAACCGTTCAGCGCGGAGGCCACGTCCCGCGGTGAGAAACAGAATATCACCCTCCGTAATGATAGGGGCTGGTTCATGAAACTGCCCTTTTGTGTTCTCGTGTGAATGGGGTGTCACGGGGTTGAAAACTGAGACGGGTTATTTCGTCTGGGGAGCGTAAGAAAACCTGTGAGCGGTGTCGATAGACCCGGGGGGCAGCGCGGCGGAGGCACGGCTATCGTCTTGCGTGTTCGTCGTCGGGGGCAGATTCCTACGTCGATCAGCACCGGCGTTGCAGGCCTGTGGCCGGATACCGAACAGGGCCCATCGAAACGTCCGAAATCAACCACGTCCACTAGGAAGATGCGAGTTGGGAAGACGAAGAAGGAGATGGCTGGGAGAGTCGGCGCGAAAGGACTTCGCCCCGAGCTCGGATTTCTGTGGAACACGCCCCTCAGGTAACGAACACATCGACACTGCAGTTGCAAGCTGCTCTGGTTATAGCCCACTTATTTATATTAACTAACTAACTAACTAACTAACTAGATGGCTTACCGAACCCGAAGGTTCATCACCGAATGAACCAAAGCCCTCCTTCAACTCCTATCTCCCATAGAAAGCAGAAAATCTGCTTCTTATGTTATTTTACGATGCTGTTTCAGTTGAATAGACCTGTCTTATACAGAATCCAGTGACACGTAAGGAATCTGAAAGGAGGCGGTTCTGATAGCAGAAGCTGAGAACTCTCGGCTGCTGGTCGAACGTTAACTTAACTTACGTACAGAACTGTAATAATTACTGCCTCACACGAAGGAAAGGTAGCACTCGGTGTAGATGTGGAGATAATATTAAAATGAACCTTAAAAATTGAGTCTGCGTTTGGCTCGAGACATGGACCAGCGACGTTCTAGAAGGACCCAGGCTCACGGATCTGTCTGCACGAGACGAAGTTCGAAGAGCCAATTGACAGCCTCTGCCCAGCTGGTTAGGCTAGCCGCAACTTCTTTCTTCTCGTGTCTGCATCTTAAGAGGCCGAGGGTTTGTGTTTGTGCCAAGCTGTGATGTCGGAAAACCTGAAGCAAAGAGACCATCTGCGAGACCTGGACAT